ATTTGTTCTAATGGTGTTTGTAAATAGGATATCATGTCTGCATCTTGTACAGCAATTAACCACTAGGAAGAATGTATGCAATGTGTTAATTACTGAAATTGTCCTACCAATTTGATTTGAAATTGTCTCATTGCCATTTGTTTCTCAATAAAATTATGAAAAAAATAAAAAAGAAAAAGAAAAAAGAAATATAAACCCATGAAAATGCACTGATTCAAATTACTTGTGAAATAAATATGTGTATCCTCTAAAAAAAAAAAAAGAAAAAAAAAAAAAGGAGATTGCCAACATCATATTAAGTAAGGAAAAATTCAAAGTCTTCCCTCTAAAATCAAGAGCAAGACGAGGATGTGTACTCTCACCACTCCCATTCAACACAGTCCTTAAAACATTAGCTAGAGTAATCAGGCAAGAAAAAGGGAGTACAGACAAGAAAGGAAAAAATCAAAGTATCACCCTTTACAAATGACATGATCTTCTACTTACAAAACCTAAAATACTCCACTGAAAGACTCCTAGAATTAATCATATTCAGCAATGTAGCAGGATATAAAATCAACACAAAAATCAACAGTTTTTCTATACACTAGCAATGAACTCACTGAGAAAAAAATTAGGAAAGTGCCATTCACAGTGTATAAAGAAAAATTAGATACATATGAATTAATTTAGCCAAAGAAGTGAAAGACCTCTCTATGAGAATTACATTACTGAAAATGGAAAGATATCCCATGTTCCTGGACAGGCAGAGCCAACATAGTTAAAATGGCAATACTTGTCAAACTAATATATAAATTTAATGGAATCCCAATCAAAATAATATACCTTATATACCTAGGGAAAAAAAATCCAAAAATTCATATGAAACTAGAAGAAACCTAGAATAGCAAAAATAATTCTGGGTAACAAAAGAAAAGCAGTGGGCTGGGGAGATAGCTCCATGGTCTAAATGCCTGCCTGGCAAGTGCAAAGATCCACATTCAGTCCCTGGTAACACATGCCACGCCAGCCACCAAAACAGGAATGGTGGTTGTAAGCCCAACACTAGGGAGGCTAAGATAGGAGGATCACTATGAGCTGCACAGTGAGATTATGCACCAAATAAATAAATTAATTAATTAATTAATTAATTAAAACAAAAACAAAGCAGGAGGCAACACAATTCTAGATCTTTAGTTATATGCTAGCTGGGCATGGTGGCACACATCTATAATCCCAGCAGTCAGGACCTGAGGCAGAAAGATCACTGTGAATTTAAGGCCAGCTTGAACTACACAGTGAAACCCTGTATCAAGAAGAAAAGTAAAAACAAAAATCTTTTTTAATTTTAAAAAGTAATATTGAAAACTACAGTGGATTTCAAAAACAAAAAATAAAAACCTAGCATGGTACAGATACAAAAAAGAAAATGGGGATCAATGCAGCAGAACAGAAGAAGAAACCACGTCAGGCATGTTCATTTGATCTTTACAAAGGAGTCTGTTATGGTTACAGTCTGTTTGTCTTCCTAAAACTTCAAGCAATCACGGGGGTGGGCTTTTTGGAGGCAGTTGAATCTAGAGTTTGTGACTGGCTGTTTAGCGCTGGGATTGGGAGTGTGAGTGCTACACCTGCCCTAGGGTGAGTAGCCTGCATACAATATAAGGGATTAGAAGAGGCAGTCTTCTGCTGGCATGGACTGTGCCCCTGTGCCATGCCAGCCTGCCTTGGAGCGGGCTGATTATGGACTTCACAAGCTGTGTGTGGGCTAAGGAAATCTTTACCCCTTTAACTTTGGGTGTTGGGTATTCTGACTTAGCAATGACAGAAAAATAACTAAGATCAAAAACATACAATGGAGGAAAAATAGCCTTTTTAACAAATGGTGCTGATAAACTGGATATATACGTACAGAAGACAGTCTGGGTCCATATAGCCTACCATGTACTAAACTAAAATCAAAACAGATAAAAGATCTAAATGGAAGATTAAAATAGGTAAAGGGGTAAGGGACAAAAAGAGGGTCACTGCTTATTGGCTGCTGACTTTTGCCCACCAGGAACTGCTTCTCCTCTGTACTATGACTTCTGTCCCTTTGCTGAGCCACGCTGCCTGGGAGCCAGACAACTGTGAGCTGAAACATCCTCAAACTGTGAGCTAACTAGACCTTGCCCTCTTTAAAAATAATTAATTAAATTTAATCAAACAGGTGAACTCTTCAGGACACAGGCCTAAAGCAAAGACTATGAGCCCCAGCTGTACAAGAAATTGAATTTAGAAACAAAGTAGAGATGTATGTAAACCCACATTCCCAACAGTAGCATCCATAATAGTTAAATCTTGGAAGCAGTTTATACGCCAATCAATAGATGAACAGATAAAGAAAACGTGGTACTTATACAGTGCAGTACTACTCTGCCATAAATAAGGATAAACTTGAGGCATCTGTAGGAAAATAGATGCACCTTGAGACTATAATAGTAAGTCAGTCAGATATACAAGCTCAAATATCACATGATTTCTCATATGAGAAACTCATAAAGAGCAAAATACAAAATAATAGGAAGTAGGGAGACCTTTTTCAAACGAAAAGGGAAACAGATGGAGAGGGTGAAAGAGAGGGATTAAAAAAAGAATTGAAAAGATGGAAATGGAGCTTTTATAAACGGAAAGGGTAAAAAGAATTGGAAAAGGGGAGAATGGAAAGGGAAGAGAACAACCTTAAGATGTATTATGCACTTTACAAACTCTCCAAGATAAATGTAACCATTATGTATTAAAAATACATACTGATTTAAAAAATAGTTCAAGATCCAATGAAACCTGATCTACGTAATGAGAGGCTGTCTCAAAAAACAGAAAGACCTGGGAGCGTTGTGCCAGCCCGGAACATGGTGCACCCTTGTAATTCCAGCACTTGGGAGGTTGAAACAGGAGGATCACTGCGAGTTTGAGACCAGACTGGGGCTACAAAAGTGAGCACAGACCAGCCCAAACTGCATAGCAAGACCCTGTCTCAAACCAAACCAAACCAAAAAGAAAAAAATTCATCCTTTTGGTTTTATTTTGAAAGCTAAGAAAATAGCTATTTCATCTTTGACATTTAAATACAGAAACCAGGGCTGGAGAGATAGTTCAGCGCTCTAAGTGCCTGACTGGCAAGTGCAGGGACCCGGAACTCTGGGCACACTGTGCTGGCCACCAAAACTGGGCATGGTGGTGCATACCTATAATTCCAGCACTGGAGAGGCTGAAACAGGAGAATCACTACGAGTCTGAGCTGTGTAGCGAGACCCTGTACCAAATAAATAAATAATTTTAAAAATTAAATGTAGAAACCATTTTCTATTTGTGCATTATTTATCTGTCTCTCTCTCTCTCACACACACACATATATATATTTTAAAGTTTATTGTTTTTTGTCTACTGTTAATCCAACAGTTCTGCCGGGGAAAGAGCTTAGTGGAATTGTGTTAGACAAGTACAAGGTCCTGAGTTCGATTCCTGATACCTCCAAAAAATAAATAAAAATAAAAATTAAAAGAAAAGGGGTCAGGGAGATAACTCGGTACAATAAGCATTTGCCTGGCAAGTGTAAGGGCCTGAGTTCAATCCCCAATTCCACAAAAAAATAAATAAATAAATAAAATAAAAATTCAATAGTTCTGTTTAAGAGAACCCTCTATGGTATGGAAAAAAGAAGAGTCTGCAGAAATGACAAGAATACAACAGATTATTTAGGCCTACTGAAAACTACATGACTAATAAACATTTGTTACATAAGATATATATGAAAACTTCTTACAACTATAGTATTTAAGGTCTCTATAGATTTGTAAATACCACAAATATACTGAATTTTATTTCTAAGAAAATTAATTGTGATTTTTATGGTACTAGATTTCAAGATTATGAATTTTTTGGGGGGCACAAAATTAGATTCATATTCTTTCTTGGTAAGAGGAGAAAAAGCATCAGCTTTAGAATATGAAAGCCAGTTCCTAATACTTAGCTATTGCTGTAGTGTGGATATAATTTGAGTGTGTCCCCCAGGTTTCACATTAGAAGCTTGGGCTCCAGGACTGCAGTACTGGTAGGCAGTAGAAGCTACTACTTTAATATGTGAAGCCTTGTAGAAGGCTGTTAGGTTGGGGAGATAGCTCAGTAGAATAAGCACCAAGTGCAAGGGCCTGAATTCAATCCCTAGTTGTGCAAAAAAAAAAAAAAAAGAAGAAGGAGGAGGAGGCTGCTGGGTTAGGGAAGCACCATTCTAGGAAAAAATTAACGCTGGTCTCAGGAGTGAGTCTCCCAAGAGGGGCTTGTTACAAAGGCCAACCCACGTGCTTGGACCCTGCTGCACACAGCTGTTTCCCTTTTTATTTTCTGCCAGGGGGCCCTCATCACAGGCCAAATAGAGCCTCCTGATTTTGTACTTAAAGTCTCCAAAATCATAAGTTAAATAAATCTCTTTTCTTTATGAAGTACCCACATCAGGAATTTTGTTAAATAATACAAATGGACTAACACAACTGTGTACGACAATTGTCACTGTTTGTTTACCATAAGAGAAGATGCTGCCACACCCAGGATGTGAAAATTAGAGGAATGCTAAATATACACCTGACTTACAGAAGTTCTATGTTAATCCCTTTCTTTTGCTTAAGAACAGAAATGTGTTCTTTGGTACTTTCTCTGTAAATTAATCAAGCCAACTCAACCAAATGATTTAAACAATCCTGTTTATGACTCAATGATGTACAGTTATGAATGCCACATGATTTCTGAGGCCTAATATAGACAAACTATAACAAAGGCTTTAGCCATTTTACAATATGAAATATAATTTGTTAATTCTAAAACTGATTAATTAGGACATTATATTGACCATGTTCTGTATTTAGAAAGAATATTCTTAAAGTTACTTACATCTGGTTGAATAGCTTTAAATACTGGGACATCCATTAGTGTTATCTGACCCTGAAATAAAGAAATTAAAGAATGACAATTTTTTTTCTTTGAACTTTGATGTATCATATATTCTAAATAAAAGTTAGGGGTTGGTGATAAAGCTCAGGGGTTGAGTACTTGGTTAGCATGTGATCCCTAGCAATGCACAAAAACCAAAATATATAACACTGTACTCTAAAATATTACTGAATATTCAATTTTAAGAGCTTATAGAAAATGTTTAAAAACTAGTCCTAGTACCATTAAATATAAATATTCAACTTTGTGAGACCTTATCTCAAAATTAATTAATTAATAAAAGTTTGAACATGAGTAGCAGCAGAGAGCTTCTCTACAAGCATACAGCCCTGGGCCCAAAGCCAACACCACAAACACCAAAAAGCAATAAGATCACCCATTATTACTTGACATGCTATGAGCCTCACAGTTGTAGATACAGAACAAAATTCAGAAATACCTTTGTGTATATGACCAATTATAATTTATTCCTTGAATGTAAGACTGGTTTAGCATTAAGAAATCAATGTAATTTATTAACAAATTAAAGAAAAATAACAAATTAAAACTGGCAGTTAAGAAATAAAAATATTTTTTATATCCTTCATGATATTCTAATGATCTCTTCTGAATCATTTTCAACTTTTAAGCTAACAAAAGAAGTAAAAATACTTTATCAAAAAAGTACAGCTGATTTTGAGGATAAACGTATAATGTGATGAAAGTACTTATTATTACCAAATTGAAGATATAATTTATAAGGCTGCTCCCCAAGATTCTAACATTCCCCACTCTATCATGCTTATGCCATAGTTTTGCTACTCTCTCCCCAAATTTCCCTAGCCATTTTTTTTTTTTTAATCGAGACAGGGTATCACTATGTAGTTTAGGCTGGCCTCGAACTCACTACAACCCTCATGCCTCAGCCACCCAAGTTCTAGAATTATAGGCATGTGTCACCACACCTGGCCATAATTATTTTTTTTATGATCTCCTCTGCTACAAAGTCTAATGCAACAGCACCAATATGTAAACTATGTAAAAAGTCTAAAGGAGGAAGAGACAGGAAGCTTACCGCATATTCTTCTGGTGTAACCTTAAGAACATCAAATACTACAGCATCAAAGCTTTTCTTCAGTTCAGAACCTTTGTCACTTAATGATTCAGAGCTGCTACTTTTCTGTTAAATGAAAGAAAATAGAGTTATTTTAGTACATCTCACAGTCATTGTCATAGAAATTAAACACTGAGTCTAGAAACTAGAGACAGCAAGCTAAGAAAAGTGTGTTAGCAAAGGCTATAGAAAAGCCAGAATATGCTGTTTAGCTGGAAGAGCACCAAAGGGTCACACAATCTGAAATCTAACCTCAGACTTAGATTTTAGGCTCTTGAGTAAGTCATTCTATTGTATTTTTTTAAAAATGTATTTTAGTACAGGGTCTACAGGGACTCACTACACAGATCAGACTTGTAGTGATCCTATTTTCGACCTCCCCAGTACTGGGAAAACAGGCGTACACCACCACGCCCGGTCTCGATGGCTGGCTCAGCAGGCCCTGGGGCAGAGCCAGCACAGCATGTGGTGCTGGGGATTGAACCCCGTTCCCCGTGCCTGTCTAAGCAGGTACTTTAGTTCACTGAGCTCTCTGGCCGGCCCCTTGTATTCATTTTTTTTCATCCATATATTGTATTATTTTCTATAGAAACAAAACACTTTTCACTAGTTTAATGATTCTCAGGTAGGATAAAAACAGGGATAAGCTCTGAGAAACTGTTTTAAACAGTTATGTTATAAAGAAAATATCACAAAGTACACTCAGGCAAACCTCAACAGCTGTATCATTAGGAAACAGACTTTTGAAGGACCACTGTTGTATGCACAGTCCACCAATGGTCAGAGTGTCATCACGCACAGCATGAGTATGTTTATAATTTTTAAACTAACTTTTATTTTTTTAAAAAGACGTTATTTTTGTAACATAAACCTAAGAAAATATCCAAAACTCCACTAAATAAATAGTTGTATAATCTACTCTTATTTGTTAAATAATCCTACCCTTGAAGTCCAACTGACATTGCTCTTCTTACCCATTACAAATAAATATGCTTTCTACTTCAAGATTACTGAGTTTTAAATCTAAATATGCTGCTACTACTTGTAGAACAAAAGGTAGTTTGAGGCCTTGAAAATCTTTCTACTGTTCAATTTCTACTTCATTTGTGCCATGATATAAAAATATATTCTGCAGAAGATGGATTCAGAGAGTCATCAGTACAAGAATACTTAGAACAGTCCATTCAATGGTGCTAAGATATTATTTGCAATTAACGGTACAATCAAACTTTCAATCATGAGCGTATAGACCGCCAACTCATCAGCTATTATGCAGCAGTTCTGTGCACATATCATTCTGTCTCATTTTATACTTCCCCTTTTCATTAGCAACTGAATATCAAGTATGGAGTCACTATATTACAAATAAGAGGTTGTCATTAATTTTGGAAAATTCTCAAAAATTATTACTTCCAATATTTCTCCTGGTTCTTCCTTTCTTCTCTGTTCTCTTCAGGTGTATTTACTTCATTTGTCATTGTTTGTTCCAAAACCTTTAGCTTTTCTGTTTTTTTTTTAGAGGTTTCAATATTCCTTCTTATATTACCCATTCTTTATTTTTCTCCCCAGTGGTTATTTGCTGTACAAGATGCAGACATGACACCCTATTTACAAACACTATTAGAACAAATCCCTCTATTCATTAAGAGAATGTAACTATATATCTATCCTAACCATTTTGAATACACAGATACAAAAAGGATATTCGTCAGTATCCCCTTTATTGCTTAGTTCCGTTATTTGAATATTATAGGTGTGTTAACTCCGCAAAATATTCTAAAAAGAGCCAGTAGTCCATAACAGTATTGGGTGTTCCACTTCACTGGCAATGTCAGAAATTGTTGACTTGAATACCCTACAGCTCAACATAACACCATGGCTTTACTTCTTATATGTCATTTTTTTTACTTTTCTGCTGGATGGTTAAGACCAAGATAAAGCAAGACCTATGCAACAAGAGTTGTAGCATTTGGATTTGATAAGGCCAGTGAAATCTGCTCAGAATTTTTCGAGATTCTGTACCTCAGATTCTAGATCTTCAGTCAGTGTCAGCCATGTCACCTTGGCCAATGTGATCTCTGTGAAAGCCTGAGAGAATGTTTTCTCTCCATGACTCTCCTTAGGCACACACTACATCATTGATCACTTTCCTCTTAGGCCCCATAATCTCCTTGATCAGAAAATTTGGGACACTACTGAGTTACATGATGTTACAGTACAACTTCTCATATGTCCTGAGTCTTAAGTGACCATGGAAGGCCAGGGCCAAAATGTTGGCTTTCCTTGAGGCCCTCCTTTTTCTCTAATTTTGGTCTGCAAATGTAGGTTGATAACCCCCCAGAAGAGAAGCTTATTATAATTACCATACAACCTAGGTTATTAAGCTTAAGCTCACTGTCTGAATATCAAACATCTTAGGCATAACATGGAACAGGTATTTTTCATCAAGTATTGATATGTTCAACTTTAAGTCCCTGCAGAATATGATGAAAAAACATTTAAAAATTAGAATATATTTTTACAATTGGCATAAAGAATTATATACTTCTTATGTTTACACAAAAGTCCAGAAAACTAACCATATACAACCTTGAAGCAGGACAGTCCCACAATATTCCTTTTCCTATCTCCTGCCTTCATTCACCACCCACTTCTTTTTGAACAATCATCTACCCGAGAGACAGCACAGCAGCAACTGGCATGTCATGACAAGCAGCCCGTGTTCAGAAGACCAGAATGACAGGCACTCCAAGCATGAAAGTACAATTAGAGATTGCCATCTTCAGGGCAGGTGCTCAGTTCACAGGGGTCATTATATATAGTTAGTCAGGGTGAAAATCATTCCAATTAACTGCTAGGCTCAAAAATCTTATGAAGATTCTCGGTATCATTGCTTTGCCCATCTTCTACATATAACTGGATGGCTTGTCACTGTCATGTTTCCTAGCTCTTCACCTTTCCATCTCTTAATTAGTTAGTCCTCGAGTTCTTGCTTTCCTTTTACTTGTATTATACCTTTCTATTTGTATTTCTTCTTTCAAGTTCTTATACTTGGGAAACTATGTGATATTTACACATGTGTCTGGCATCCACTTCAATGTAAAGGCTTCGAGTTTATCATTCTTTATAGCTGAGTAATACTCCATTGTGTAAAAATACCACATCTTTTTTAACCATTCCTCAGGTGATGGGCATCTTGGTTGTTTCCAAGATTAGGCTATCACAAATTATGCTGCTATAAACATAGGCACACATATATCACTATGATATGATGTTTTCAGATCCTCTGGGAAAAATGCCAGTACAGGAATAGCTG